TGTCATTTTTATGAGCATCATCTGAATCGGAATCACTGCTGGACTCACTAGCCGAACTATCACCATTTTCCCCATCAGTACCAGATGAAAAATTTCGCTTGCGTTTTTTATTTCCTTTTGATTTATTTTCTTGTTTTGTGTGTTCCTTCAATTTTATAAATCACATTAAAATTGTATGTTGTTGCTAAAGTGCATGCGCAAGCTTATATATGCTAATACAAGCTCAATTGGGGGATAGAATTGTTAAATTTTATAACATAAAATATTTAATAAAAGTTTGAAAATTTACATGCTTTATGTATGCTTTTCAATGCAGAGAAAATAAATAAGATTTTTTTTAAAATAGTATGAAAATATATACCTTTTCACTCTGCTGATCAGAATCTTTTTTGGATCCATCGAGCTCTTCACCCTCATCTTTTTGGCCCGCGTCAGGTGACTTTGTTTCATCTGATGTTTTAGAAAAATCATTGAGTTTTAGTTCTTCAGATCCTATGTATATAATTTTTATTGTTATTAATTTTTTTTTTATAATAGTGAATTTCAAAACTTACCTTCATTTTCATCGCTTCCAACTTTTTCTTCTTTTACATTTTTATCTACACTTTCAGTGGGGTTTTTAGTATCAGCCTCAGGTTTATCTAAAGTAGTAATATTGAAAAAAAGTATTAATTCATTGTTACGTTTGCAATGCAAAATTCATGTGTGAATTAATTTTTGATACTATATATACAACTACTATATGCTATAATATAGTCATTTATAAATATTAAATAAAACACTTGTTATAAAAAAAAAAAAAAATTGAATGTGAACCTAACAAACCTGTAGCAGCATTTGGAGCTGAAGAAGTATCCTCGTCCAACACCTTTAAATCTTCGTCGGTGCCACCCTCAAGTTTGATAACAACAGTGTCAAGTAATCTAATTATCTTATCGGATTGATCAGAATCCACACTTACAGATTCAATCACCCCTCCTTCCAGGAGTTCTAAAAACACATTAAGACGATTCTGAAAAAAAAATTTTTTAGATGTAACTTCAAGAAGTCAGTCATTTTTCTAAAAACAATAAAAAAAACACATAAGTTTTTTTTAAATATAAAATAAAGTGAAATATCTCATATAAGTAAGTACATACTTGAAAATACCTTATGATAATAGGTTTAAAACTTATACTCAAAAACTACTCAAAGAGATATTCTTTGTTTCCAAATTTTATTTAATTTGATTTGAAGATAAGATTGAACTACACATACCTTTAAAGAAGCAAGTTGTTCTTCACGTCTCTTTAAAGATTCTTCAGGATGGTATTTGATTTTGAACCTGAAAGATTATATAATAATAAGTTTAAGGATGTTCAAATTAATTTGCAGAAGTTTGAAGCCTCTCTATAATCCATTTCACATGTGCCACTCTCTATAAATTATACTAAAATTTGTTTCCCAATACTATTATACATTGGGTGATATTTGTATGCTCATGTTGTCTGATATTGATAAAGGTATATTATCAGTTTCTGTATATGCAGAAAGTATAGTAAATTATAACAATAGACATATGCTCTAAAATTTGAAAGCAACAGCAATAACTTGTATGCTAGAATGTTTTATAAAAATTATTAAAACATGCTTTTTGTAATAATTTTATAGTTAAACAAAAATATATACATAAATTATCAACTATACAGTAATACCTCTCACCTGTTCTTGATATTTTTTTATTTCCTTAACACTAAACCCTATAAATCGAATCATAAATCGATTTTTATAAATAAATGAAAATTCGCGTTAACCACAAAGCATTGCGCGCTTTGGGCTGTAAATATTTCGCAAACGTTAAAGATAAATCATATGATTTTACAATACAACACCTATGCTAATAAACTTATTTCGATGTAAAACAGCCACTTTTTCTTAATGAAACGTAATTTCAACAAAATACAAGTGAAGAAATATTTATGAAAACGAGGCACAATTTTTGCAGCCACTCTCGATAATTTTGCATTGCTGTGAAAGAAATTTGTCATTATATAATCATAATATGTTATTTCGATGAAAGAATTATTATTAGTGCTAAATAAGGTAAGTGTAAATATTGTTTGATTAACTAATTGAAAAACTTGACCATCACCTAGAGAAAAATTGAAACAAAATAAATTAATTATAGCTGTAACAAGTATGAAAACTAAAAGTAATAAAATTTTATGCTTTCACATTATGTTTCAAATTAAATTTCTGTGTAACACAGCAAAAAAAAATTCTGCACCTTGGAAGAATGTAAATGCAGAGCATGCTTAAAATATTTTTCACAAGATATTTGTACATACATAATTATTTTAGATATTTCATAAATTATTAATGTTTAAGACATTATTAAAGAAAATTAAATACACTTTAACAATTAAAAGAAACTTTTTATTATAAACTTGATTAATAAAAGTTAAGTAAGTGTAGTGCATAAGAATTGTAATATATATGTAATATATATTTAGCATTTTGATTTTGAACTATATTTAAATCTGTATCATATGGAGCAATATCAAATCACTTATAAATTTCAATTTACTCACCATTCCTCATCTTTATGTGCCACAAAGAATTCGTTCAGCTGTTGCCTTCTAAATTCTAGTTTGTATTCTCCATATTTTTTTACTGCATCATCATCAGTAATAGCATCATCTTGGGCTGCCAAAAATGCTTTAAAAGACATCATGGCTGGCTGCGTGTCACCATTGTTAGCAGCCATATTACCTCCAACATTACCCATGTGAGAATCTAAGACTGCTCCTCTGTTGAAGTTAAAAATTAAAAATTATCAACTATAAAATGGATCCATTATTCAGGTTGCCTACAATCTATGAATCTATTATTCGAATTCATAATTGAAGCTTACCTATGTGGTACATATCCTCCATAATGATCATGATGAGGCCATCCATAGCTTCCATAGCCATCGTGCATACCTAAAAATTTAATATGTTTACAGTAAGTTTCAAAATGCTACTTATATTTCTTATATGCAAAATCACATAAGGAAATTCATAACAAATATATTATACAGACTTTTTTAGAAAGTCTAATATTTTCCTTATAATCTCTCCTATGTTAAAATGCATGCTATATTCAAATAAAATTGTTGTGCAAATGGTACCCTTATTTTTATGGTTGTTACCATATCTAGGTCTTGCATCATCCCAGTCTCCTCGCATCCTTTTTACTGGTGGACCATCACCACCTCCTCTTCCTGGCGGTGGTGAATAACCCCCTCTTCCCCCAGAGCCTGATCCAACAGCTGCACCTGCACGATAATCCCGATAATCCCTTCTGCTCCTAAATAAATAATAATGAAGATACTTCACATTATTGCAAAAGAAGGATATTGTATATAATATAAGAAGGATAAGTCACATAATTTAAATTTAACAATTACAAGTCTTAATTCTGGTAACCTCATTTTATCTTTAATAACATAATTTCAGTGACAGTATACAAATAAATCATACGATATACCTTTTTTATATTCTATTGAATTCGCTATAAAATAACATATTAATGATAATTTCAAACAGAATCAACTGAAAATGAAAATCATAAATTGTATATCATTACAGTAATAATGAAATTATTTCATTCAAAATTTTATTATACATACCAATATTGATAGAATACACTCCGCAAAGTAGGACTTATGAGAGGTCTGGAAGAGGATCTAAGGAATTAAGTTGGAAGGATGTGAATTAAAATGAAAGAAATTAGGATACTAAAGAAATAATGAAAGGATGAAGTAAATATAAGGATAAAGCTCTATTTCTAATTCAAATATCAGTTGTTACTCTAATTATGTAAGTGTAAGATATGTCTAATATATATTATAGATATCTATCTAATTATTTCAAAACACTATGATTAAAATTCATTATTGAAATAAAATGTAGCTCATATTAATGCTTTATTTGTTATTTAAGGCGAAAAGGTAATGCCAACACATTATATGTGTAAAAGTTTGTAATACATTAAAATTAATCTGGCACATCGTTCAAATACATTCGCAGTGTGTTTTGATTTTACTGATTGTGCTCCAAGCTTTATTAGAGCTAAAAATCTATTGATGCTCACCTGTCAGGCCAATCATCTCTGCCCCTGTTTCGGTCATCACGACTTCTTTCGCTGCCTCTATAGCCTCCTTCAGAGTTGCCCCCAGTTCCACCGCGTTCTCCTCTAAACTTATCACGACGTTTTCTATCATACTCGTCATCACTATCGCCCATTTTTACACTGATTTTGGAAGATATTTATTATTTAAACGTTTAGCTTCTATAAATATATAGAGAATATGGTTCATAAAGCGCTTATTTGCTGTTTCTAAATACCTGAGATGACGACGCTAAATGTTTAAATTTGGTATTTTTAATTTTCTATCTTGAAATATTCGAAACTGATTACAAAAATATTTCTCGTTAACCTAAAACAAAAGCTGACACTGCAAATGACGACGCTCGAACTCAAAGTCACAAACGCTGATGTAGGAGATTACAGAACATGTAACACTTACTTAAATATTATCTATGGATTTACGTAAGGCGTCGGGCACATCGGACAAGTCCATGAAAATGTCCATAGATAAATAAGCATGAAAATGTCGTTGCCCTAGAGTTAGTAAAATGAGTGTGGTTGAGGCGGTTGAGCGTCGTAATAGAATAAATGTTAAAAATTTCCTTATCTATGGAATAAATATTTGTAGCAATTATACACATAGATAAAAGAAGAGTATCTACGTTTGTATGAGTAGATTTACTCGCAAAAATTTGAATAAGTTGAACCATAGATAAGTAAACATAACAGGTTGAACAGATTGAAGACTTGCCCATAGATAAAATAATGGTATATATGGACTTGCCTTTTGGTAGTTTTTTTTCTTGTAGCCATGTTGTCAGCAGTGTGTCAGGTGTCAGCTCTCAAACTTAAAGCAAAACTGTCAAAAATCAAAAAACATAATAGGAATAAGTTTGAATGCTCGTGGGTAATTTGGAAAATAGTAAATAGTTCTGATAAATTAAAAAAAAAACAATTAAGAAAGCAAAATATCTATGTTAAATTTATGTTATAACAAGAAATAAAAATATGGATGGCCCTAAAACTATTGTGAGTATTGCATACATTTTACATATAGTTTATTAACATTTTTATGGACTGCATCTTTTTCCTATTTGTCTTATGATAATGTAATTATGTTTTATACTTACAGACATACACACACATCAGTTATAAGGATTATGAATAATTTAATATGCAATATAATTTATTTATTGTTTACTTTCTACTAGTGTTTATTCAAACATAACTCATTTTTTAAAATGTCACATAAAGTACAAAATTGTTTACTGTATTTGTTATATTGTAAAATTTTGCCAATTATGCAAAATGTCCTTTATAAATAATTTTTAGGTTATACCAGATCCCGTTTGTAAAAGTTCAGGCATAGTTGCTACATGGGCAAATCCAGAAATTTTATCTGTCAGAGCTTATCAACATATCACAAGTTCTACAAAAGATACTCCCTCACCCTATGAGAACAAAGATATAAAAATCCACCACATAAGGAAAACTAACATTCTTCAAGATAAAATACTTCGTAAGCTTGTTAATGAATCTATTGGTAGTTTTCTATCAGTCCAACAGGTGTCTAATGATAATGCCCAACAGAAATTAGTGATTTTATCGAGACAATACAGGTCGATTATCAGAGCTTGTTTAGAAAACCTTCAAGAAAAGGTGGATAACTTAAGTCTCAATGAAGAGAAGAGAAGTGAATATCAAAACTATGTCACTATTTTTTATTCTGTTGAATGCCTTTGGCACTTATGTGAAATTATATTGATAGATTCTGTTCCTGGTAATATTATTGTTCCTCAGGTTAGAATGTAATTCAGATATTTCTCCAGCTTGAATCAAAAATATTATATATATAAATTTCATAATTTTAAGATTTTTCTTAAATTTTAGCTTTTATCTTGGATCCGTCTTCATTTCCACACGCATGAAACAACTGCATCTCATTATTAGTTCAAGGAGTAGGGCCCAATCGAATCCTGAATATTGGAAATGTATTAAGGGTCACTTAGTGCAAGGAAGAACAGATATTGTTCGAGCTTTGCTCAGTTACATTCTAGTGCAGACAGTGTTCCGTTTAATTTGGCTGATAATCTGTTAAAAACTATGCCAATGTATAATGTGAGTGATATAAACTAAATTTAAACTTTATTCTGAAAATTAATCAAATTCATTATTATTACTTGTATTTATATCCCTTAATTCTAATTGAAAGATTTTAAATTAGAATTTAAAAAATATTACTTATGTTAAATAATTAGTAACATTTTTTAAATCCTGATTTTTCTTTTGGTTAAACTTTATTAATAGTATTGTAAAGAATTTTCAGAATCAAATTCAAACATTTGCTGATGTTTATGAAAATAACGCACCCAATTTTACATAGAAATGTTTTTTTTGCAGATTTTTTTAACTTTCTTTGAAAAATCTTTTTTTAAATCAATTTTAAAAATATTTTTTTAATGAATATATATATATATATATATATATATATATATATATAGGTATATAATTGCTTACTTAGAATGCTAAATTTATTAGTGTTCTGTGAATTAACTTAATTACATTACTTTTAGATATATGGATTTGTTTCTGTAAGCGATTTCACTAATCGTTGGCGACATTGGTGTTTGAATTGCACAGCGCAAATTGATTCTAAGGCATTTGTAAGTGAAAAGAATTTGGAACAAATAATGAAGGTAATAACAAAAATAAGTACCCTTATTATTTAAATGAAGTATGAAATTGTAATCAATTAAAGAATATAAAGTAGATGTAGATGTATATTAGTAATATGTAAATGTTTTGAGCATTCCAAATGTTCTGTGTTTTTTTTTTTCAGTTATTAGTAGGCGATAACACTGCTTGGCGAGAGGAAAGAATGTTAAGTACTGCATGGTATGAACTATTTCCTGGTTGGTTGCTGTATACAGATCCTTCAGTAAAATGGTTTTCATTAAAACCATTAGTTCGAATTGGTTTATGAGTAATGAAAAAGAATCTTCTCTAACTCATCTTGATAAACTGATTTTAGCTGTGATGGAGTGTGATATTGAATTGGTAAGAATTCACAAGCGTTCAGTCTGTTTTTACATAACATTAATTTGTTTTTGCAAACAGAAATATTGAAAGATTAATTAATTTAAATAAAATATATCATTCTTTTATTACTAACCATTATTTTGTGCAAATAAAAATGTTTATATTAGAAGAAGTTATACATATATTAAAATGTAATATAACTTTTATTATATATTTATTAGCATATATTTAATAAATCCAGGTAATTAGGGAAATTCAACATATGTCAGACAATGGTTGGTTTGTAACACATTTTACTGACCTTCTGCCACCACTGTATAAGGCTCAATATTTTGGATAATAATGAAATAAGGTAATTTTAATATAAGCAATTATTATATTTCAAAATATTACTTGAATTATTTGCAACATATTTAAATAAGTAATATTTATTATGTATATATGTAGTGTTACTAATGAGCTTCGAGAAACTTTAGTATTAGAATATGGAACCCAACTGTTTTCCCTACCAGGCATGTGGGAACAGGATTATCATATCTAGATCATTGTCCAGAATCTGGGAAGCCACACAAATACTTTTATTATCAAGTTTACCCTTAACAACTGATCATCAAACAAGTAAAATAGTTAGAGCAGCCATGAATAGAGGCTTGCAAGAAGTCGGTAAGTAATGGTGATTATACGAAGGTTATTGAATAAGGATATTTAAAGATATGAAATATTTTTGTGTATTTTTTTCTCAAGAAATATAGCATACATACTTTTTTGTGTTTAAAAATCAATATTTAAAACTATATTATTATGATAATCTAGATTAACCTTTATTTGAACAATATTATGCATATATTTCATAAATCTAATATGTTAATATTTTAAAAAATTAATTTTCCGCTCACCT